TAGGAGGTGAGCGTGCATTGCTGAGATCCCTGCTAGCAGGTGGAGCTCTTAGGGGAAAATGGGCTTTAGAGTCAAAGGCTGGTGGTGACCTGAGCCCAGCTGACTCAAGGGTCTGGGAAGGGTCTGTATCCAGGCTTGTTCGTGCCCAAGATGAAAAGTCAAACAAATGTTTATGAAGCACATGGACACAGGAAGCTGCAATGAACGACAGTGTCTTCCCCTCAAACTGCTCAGATTCACAGAGGCTCCCGGGTCTCATGAAGGAGGCAGGGGGCCACAATGGGCTCCAGGAGGGAGACTGAATTTGGCTTGGGGATTGTACTTCAGGGATAACAGGGATGAACATGGCAATAAGGAAGGAAGTGGACAGTTTGTCACCGCCTTTAGTAACACCCGAGAATGGCTTCTCGTTACTCTTAGAAAGTTCAACTAGACAGAAGTCACAGAGTGAGTCCTGCACTGCCCAGTGTAGTGGCCACTGGCAACGTGTGGCTACCGGGTGCTTGACGTGTGGCAGGGTTTTAAACTGCATGTGGTTTTAACTGAGTGAAGCAGCCCTCACAGACATTTCCCTCACTGCAGGAAGCTGGTCAGAATGGTGCTGCCTGTCTACCCACCCATGCCTACCGCCTCCTTGTCACTGACCTACGGGTTCCGAGGGTATGCCAGACTTGCTCAGCAGACCACCGCCTCAGTGCCCCAGGTCTCAGCCTGCTGGCATTCTCTGTCCTGGTGGCTCCAGTCACCTCTCTGGATTCTCTCTCACCACTCATGTTTCCCACACGGTGCCTAATATAATTTGCAGTAATTTTGCTAGCTCATTTAATAGTTTGTCCTTGTGCATCCTTTAGGAGGTAAGCCCTGTGGGACACAGATTGGGAGTTTCTTATTGTGTAAATTCCAGGGACTGGTGTGGCCTCGAGCTCACTTCGGACTCAGTCCACTTAAGTGGCTGACTGAGGATGCTCCATGCGGCGGGAACATGTGAAGGCATGGGAGCAGGCATCAGCACAGGGGTGGGGAAGCCACGGAGGGCTAGAAGAGAAATGAAGGGTAAGGAAGGGCACACATGTAGATTGGGAGGAGGGGATGTGGATGTCACAGGGAGGCTGAGTCCTGAGTCGGGCAGCCTTTGAGAAGCCTGCTATATGGTTGAAAAGGCTTGACAACAGAGCCAGCCCCATGTCCACTGTTCTGGAACGTGGGACACATGCAGAGAGGTGGGCTAAATAAGGAGGGACCATCCTGACAAACACAGGAGTCCAGAAAGCAAGAGTATCCCATCTTTCATACCCCTGGGGATTCTATACAGTTTGAAATACAGGTGGAGATGGTCCACTCATCTAGTAGGACTAAATCTAAGCAAGAAGAATCTGCAGCCCTATTGGAAGTAACAAGAGCCCAAGAGACCTCGGAACCTTCTCTGGGCCTTCCTCCATTGGCGGGGCTTCCCCACCACGCAGTAAGGAGTTGCTCAGTAAATAATGGTTGAATAAACAAATCCACCTTCCACCAAGACCACAAGATATTCTCTTCTCATGAAGACTGGGAGAGAGTCTTGAGTGTTGAGTGAAATCTGGGTCAATTAAACGCTGTAGGCAAGTGGCGGACAAAATTAGAGGTCCATTCTTACTCATTCCTTTCAGTGACTTTGAGGATGCGATGCTGCTTGCATTGTTTCATAATTAGGTCAAAATAAATTTCTTCTAGGAAGCTTTCCCCAGACCATTCCTTTAGCTTCCAAACTCAAACCGACCCATCAAAATTCTCTCCCTGTCTAATTGCATGTTCAACTATCTCCCGAAAGCATGGCCATAGAGCTCCGCTTGGGCGGCAGCACCTCGGCCACATTCTGCACCTGAGAAGCACTCCCTTCTTTTCCGACTAATTTCTGAGATAGGATCCTCCATGGAGTGGGACAGGAGGGAGAGAGACGGTGGAAACACAGGATTATTCCCCTTCATCTGGTCCTGTAGGGGTGACTTCACTGTCCCTTCTCCCCTTCTCATAGCTTACAGGTTCTTGGCTCTGCCAATGGCTTAGCTTCAAAGTGTGTTTTCTCACATGAAGAATAACACCTCTCGGGATGGTTTGGGGGATGGGAGACCAGATAAAGAATACACACAATGTAGACCAATGTAGACCTTCTGCCATGCACAGCGGTGGGTGAGAGGGGCTAGTCAGCACTCCTGTGGGCCCTGACAGGTTCTGGTTCACTTTGGTGTTGGGAGCATTGGGGACATGGGTTTTCAGAGGACCTGACTCGAGAGTCTCCTTTTCTATAAACATCGCAATGATATCACAATTACAGCGTTAGGATTAGGGTGAATACCAAGATCTGGCAGATACGTCCCGTCGACTTTACAGGTGTGGTGCAGGCGACAGAGGACGTCACAGAAACGTTAAGGGACACCATGAGGGAAGTTAGGGATATAACCCAGCTTGCCTGGCTTCCATGTGCTGGAAATCAATATTTCTAAAATTGGAAGAGTTTGGAGCCTGCCACTTGATAAAGAAATGACAAGAAGACAGCCGAGTGCTGCCATACTCTGGATCCAGCTGTTTGTGCTTGGCCTCACCTCTGCCAATTACTAACCGGATAACCTTACAGTGCCTCAGTTTCCTCATCCAAAAGAAGAGAAGTGCTGGTGCCAGCACCAAGTTCACAGGACCATTCTCAGGCTGGCGAGGGCTTGGTCTGTAGGCAGTACCTGTCGCAGCATATTAAATGCTGCCCATCGCTATCGGCGTAGTAAAAATGATGTCAGGATCCAAATCATACCTCGGGAGCGAGACAAATTGAATTTTACACCTGGAAAAAAAGTTTTAAAGGTCATCAGTTTGGACGTCCATGGACTTGATTTTCATAAGATTATTCCAATCACCCACTTCAAGGTCCTGTGCATTATAGAAGATAGCAAAATTATCACTATTTAAAGTCTCAAGGTTTAGTATAGCTAACACATTTGGTCTCAGATAGTCCAATGGATGATATAATGGAGCTGCATTTTTATAAGCTGTCCCTGTGTACTTTGTTGTATACTTGGGCCCTTAGGTAACCAATGTGTGCAGCATTAAATGCCCATTTTATAGGGCTTTTCTAAGAGAGGCTGGTAGTGTGAAGGAACAAGCAATGGGCCAGAAGCCACCAGGCCTGGGTAGAAGAAAGGCTTTGTCGCTTACTCACTGGGGCACTAGGAGCAGGCTGCCTCTCTTCCTATCATTACAGTATGGAGGCCGTCAGGGTGATGTACACGTCTGTCTGTGCTGGATGGAAAATTAACCAAGGGAGTGATGGCGAAGGACTGAGATGTTTAACTTTAATATCTAATGATGGCATGTCTCTTAAGGTTTCTTTTCTTTTCTTTCTTTTTTTTTTAAACACAACCCCCGTTGGGTGGTGGTGGTGGCGCACGCCTTTAATCCCAGCACTCGGGAGGCAGAGGCAAGCGGATCTCTGTGAGTTCAAGGCCAGCCTGGTCTACAGAGCGAGATCCAGGACAGGCACCAAAGCTACACAGAGGAACCCTGTCTTGAAAAACCAACCAACCAAACAAAAACAAAAACAAAAAACCCCACAACCCTCAAATAGAAAACTGTTTCCAGAGGAAGCCATAATCTGCTTCATAATAATCTTTTATGCAGGTGGCTCCCATGAGTGCCCTCTGGGGAACAGCTGAGCTGCCTGTATGTAACACCCACTTCTCTGGAAGAGAGGTGATGACCTGCTCGGTCACAGTCAGCCTCCTTGGCCATTCCTTGATGCATAAGTAGCAAGAAGTCTTACTTTGTGATTGCCCCTTCCTCTGCAGATTAAAGGAGTGAACTACAAGGGACTTTTGTGGGCTAGGAGCTACAGCTACACCCGAAAGCAAGCCCCAAAACAGTCACAGCTACGGAGACCCCTAAACCTAAGCTGACCAGATTGCACGGCTACATTCTTCAGCGGTGGATGTCCAGAACCAGAAACCTGAGTCATCAAGAAGTGCGTAAAATACTTCCAGTATCGCTTGCTTCCGTGGGGAAGGCTGGGTGTGAAGCCTTTTAGAAAGATTGTCATCAAAGGGCTTTTACGCGTACTCAGCTGCTGTTGCACACCAAAGTCACTGCTGTGGGCTCCCTCCATAGGATGCTGCCACATGCTTGAAACATCCCATGAACGTTCCAAGGTTGTTGGTACACAGAGGAGAGCACACACAGTCCCTGGGTAGCAGGCACATAGTAGGGAGTTTTAGAGATGAAGCGGTTTCCAGTTTTTCAGTAAGGGTCTGAGTGGGTTTCAAGTTAGAGTTTATCAGAACTTTTCTTGAGTGCCTATTGGATGCCAGGCATTGTTGTAGGAGTAGTCTATGGCATTCCAGAGGAGATCCACTGTCGACACGATTTCTCCGGTGGGTAGATCCACAAGTGACAGCAGTGATGCTTTGCGGTTTTTTTTTTTTACCCTAAGTTTCGCCTTCCTCCTGCCCAGACTTCACTCCCTTCAAGCTGAAGGCTTCCTCAGTGTGGAAGGGGTTTGTTCCTGTAAGACTGAGCGGGCCAGGGGCTGTGTTTCTACCGTCAGCCTGGGCGCCCCCATGGGACAGGGCTGGTCTCTGCCTTGACCTCAGTGCTGGAGGAGCACGTCGCTTTAGGGGGCGAGAAGGGGAGCTGAGCCAAAGTTCCCTTTTCCTCGACAGAGGTCCCCCTGGGTCCTGAGCTGAGCACGCACTTTCTCCAGGAGCCAGCAGGAGCAGGGCCGAGGGGCGTCTCCCCTGGACCTCAAGGGAGTGGGAGAGGAAGGACAAGGCTGAGAGCTTTGCACACCGGGCACTGCCCCTCCCCGCACCCCCCCCCCCTCCAACACACACCCCAGCGCCCTCCCCGAAGAGGCAGTGCCCTGCAGCTTGCGTCTGAGCGGCGGGCCGGCGGAGTGGGTGGCGCAGGGCAGGGGTGGTATATCCTGTCTGACGGAGGGCGGGCCCCGCCAGTGCCTGCCGAGGGACGAGCCGGGGCGGAGGCGCCAGGAGCAGCAGCCGGGAGCCTCACGCGGACCAGCGCTCTATGGCCATAGGGAGCCGCTGAGAGCAGAACACGCGCCCGCACCCCGCTGCACCGCACCCCGCGCCTCTCGGTTCCCCCGGCCCGCGCCCCCCACCCCGCCCCACCCCACTGCCACCATGAACCACTCGCCACTCAAGACCGCGCTGGCGTACGAATGCTTCCAGGACCAGGACAACTCCACGCTGGCTTTGCCCTCCGACCAAAAGATGAAGACCGGCACGTCGGGCAGGCAGCGTGTGCAGGAGCAGGTGATGATGACCGTCAAAAGGCAGAAGTCCAAGTCTTCGCAGTCGTCCACCCTGAGCCACTCCAACCGAGGTAAAGGCGCGCGCGGCGGCGCCCGTGGGACGTGCGTCCCTCCCGACGACGCGCTTCTGTCTGCCGGTGGGGACTGAGCGTCAGTCCGCCCCGACGGGGTGTGTGACCACAGCCCAGCTCTCAGGCCATCGCCACAGGGTGGACTCGCTCGCCTCGGGCTAGCCTGCGGCTGGAGGTCGAGTTCGCTGTGGGGTCAGGATGGGTAGCTCACTGGGGGACGCGGCTGGGAGTACTTTCGAGCGAGATCTGAATCCGGAGGGCTCTCTTTTCCTAATCTTGCTCCGGGGGGGTACCAGTCTCCCATTATCTTTAAGTGTCTGTCCTGAGGTCCCAGACTCAGCGCTCTCACCTACCTCGCGCCTACCTCCCCCATCTACCTCCCCCCGCACCCCCCCCCCCCCCATGGCTCTTTTAGCCTCCAGCTTGCACCCAGGTTCAGAGGGATAATATCCCTGGTGGAGGTGGTCTGTGGAGCGGGGAAGAGAGTGACTGAATTATTGTGATCGAGTCTGGGTTCAGGAGAGGCATTGTGGGATGGGGAGGTAGTCAGGAATCCATCTTCCCCCACTCCTAACTAGTCCCTGCCACTTTACCTGGAGTCTCAAACCAAACTGGGAAGATGCAATGTGACTAGAAGGCCATCAGGGAAGGAGGGCCAGGTGCCTGCCTTCATTCTCTAATAGCTAACACTGAGCCCCCTTCTCCTGACCCAGCTTAAGTAGAAAACAGTGTCAAAGCGGAGATGAGTGTGTGTGTGTGTGTGTGTGTGTGTGTGTGTGTGTGTGTGTGTGTGTGTGTTGTGGGGGGCGGGGGTGAGTCCACTTCACCAGTTTGGGCTTCCAGTCCTGTCCTCATCCCAGGGCCTGCGAGTGACAAGGCCACAGATTGGGGAGGGGAGGGGGTCCCTGAAGCTGAAGGTGGAGACAAGTTGTTAAAGTAGAAATTTTAGAGTAAAATGTCCATGCGAAGGATTCCCAGTGAGAAATACGCCAACCTTTGGTTATCAAACATCATCAGAAAAACTCGAACGTGTTGCTTTATTTTTATTATTTAGCCAAATTGAGCAAAATGCTAACGAGAGGGCACACTGTGAGCCAGTCCAGGTCAAGCAGGGCATGCTTATTAGAGACAGAGGAGACAGTGTTGGGTGGGGGGCGAGGGGAAGACTAAGGAAATAGGCCTGCCAGTTCTCCAGAGTGCCCAAGGCCCATGCTCTCTGCCCGGGGCATGTGTTCTCCTTCCCCTCTGCTCCCCAGTGACCCCTGGGCAGCGCTAAGGGAGAGAAAATGGCTGTCGGCCGACTCTGCCACTTCCCACACCGAAAAGCTTTGCTGTTGGCCGTGCCCTTTGCCCTCGTCTGGGCTCCTGGCTCCTCTCCTACCAGAGGTGGCTCCTCGCCTTTTATGGAGTGTCTTTGTCACTGCTTACTAGCTTCATTTGAAAGCAGGTTTGGAAGGACAAAGGGCCTCGCCACAGCCCAGGGCACAGCTTAAGGCCACCCACTCTTCTCTGGTGCGCGCTTGACCTTGTCTCTTTCCACCCTTATCCTACCAGCCTCAGCTCCTGGCTCACAGGGCCAGGAAAATCTCAAACTGGGTCCATGGGCCCCCCTCGTCCCTTCTCCCTACCTATCAGGATGTTTCCTGACATCCGTCATCTCAGAATGCTGCTTCTATCTAGCTTGGTCTTTGTGGGTAACCATCTGAGGGTGTCTCTACCAAAGGTCCCCGAAGGGGATTCAGCCAGGTGAGGGCTTAGGGCTGACCCTGTTGCCTCCTGCTGCATACTTGCCTAGAAACTCTCCTGAGACTGGCCCTGTAGGTGTGTCTCCCTAACCTCAGCCTCTGGGGAGGTTCCCAAAGGGGGCCAGTTTTCCCAGCTGGAATAGGCGGTCGGGGCACTCAGATCTGGTGTGTCTGGTTTATCTGGCTTTGTTTTCGTCAGATTTCTCCGTGCTCTTCATCCGAAAACGCCCAAGCATTCTGTATTCGCTTCACGGCCACGCTGCCCTCTCTTTCTCCTGGTGATTTCCATGCCAGGAGACTGCTTTGCATCCTGGCAGAGACCAGTTGGCAGCTATGGAAGTCATCTGCCCCTGGACACTTGACTTCTCACACGGTCTTCTCCTGGCACAAAGCCATTGGTTTCCATGGGTCTTGAGCTCCTGACCTCAAATCCAGGGCCTCTCTGGTTAGAACCCAGCTCTAAAGAAAGCTGGCCCCACCCAAAGGGTTGCTTGGCAGAATAGCCACTGCTCCTAGTGTCCCTGGTGAACAGTCAGAACATACACCCATGACCCTGGCGGTTAGAAAAGGCTTTTCCTTTTTCCTCAGACCCTTGTCCACCAGGTCTATCCTTGTCACCTCGCTCTTTTTAGGATGGGGCATTGAGCTGTTGGGGGGCTGGAGAAGGGATCTGGCACCATTTAAAGGTACATCTCTACCTATTCCCTCCTTATTCACGGTAGACCAGATTCTTCAGCTTGGTCATGAAGTCCCCAAGAGGGTTGAAGACCATTCAGAGGAAGGTGGTTGTCTATCAGCTGGAACTGGCCATGAAGTTGCTCCCCTGTGTTCTCAGGGTGTCTCTTTGTGTGTCAGGGTGTTAGGTATTTTTCTTCCTGACTGTGTGGGAAATAAGAGGCACATGGTGGTGGGGGGTGGAGTTGTCAAATTTGCTCAGCAAGAGATCTTTGCTAGGGACTGTTGATGTCCCTAAGGGTGGGGAAGGCCCTCTGGTTGTTGTTGATCTGTCCTATGAGGGTGAGGGGCTGACAATGAGTGACACCTTTCAGACTTATACAACTCATTTGGAATCTTTTCCAATAGCTTACCCATGATCTCATTTGATTCAAACACAACACCTGCCACCAGGACATACAGGTCGCACACAAAGTTCCATAAAGGGGGCTCCCTTCTTTCTACTGCTTCTTCCAAGGAATCCAGCACGACCAGCATTTGAACTGTACGATGTTGCCTACTTAACTACCTGTGATTCTAAATTCCCAACTCGGGCCAGAAGTTCTTCCTTCTCGAAAGTGGTGCTTCCCACTAAAACACACAGTCTTTATTCCCCTGTGCTCAGAGACTGGAGTTTGTCTAGACTGGTGGAGGTGTCTGCTCACCTTCCAAGTTTCCCGCCTGCAGCCTCATGCCAGCTCCTCCATGCTATGAAAGGGCAGCCTAGGGCAGCCCTGCCTTTGGTGACTTACGTGTTTGCATTTGTCTGTGTCTCAGCATGAACCCCTGCCGAGGAAGGTTCTTTTCTTTCCACTCTTGAGAGTTGCCCTTTCCTGGCCACGGACCGTGGGTAGACAGCACTGTGGGGTTGTTTTCTCGGGCGCTAAGCAGAGATGAGCGATGGTAAAGGGCTTTTGTGTTTAAGCTTGTTCCAGAGGCAAAACATACTAATTAAACTTCAAATGAACTAATTCTGTTTCTTTACCATTCTTGGCTTGAAGTTGGGGGTTTTAGCCAGTATTTCTGTTGACCTGTTACAACACATGCAAAAATGTGGAGTATCCCGGGGTGTTTTGAAGCAAACACTGTTTGTTTTCCTGGATCCCATCCTCTGCTAAGCTGCCAAGAGAGTTTGTCAAAATGCATTGGAGGGTAAAATGGGAGAGCGGTGATCACAGTGCCAGGTAACCTGTGTGGTGGGCTGCCCTCCCAAATGGTAAATACTAATATGTCATTCAATCTAGGTTTAAAAATCTGAAAAGTGTTTCTGTGATGGGATATAACTTCTAGAAAGTATATGATGTTTGACCATAATAAAGTGGAAGGATGTCAGATATTCTTATTTGACATTTTTTGTAGGTTTGTGTTATATACATGTACCTACATTCTTCACATGGATATACATGTTGTAGACATACAGTTACTCTATGCACATGGATATATACAATTACATATAGACACATGCTCCAATATACATGAATATACACACATATGCACACATATATGTACAGTGACATGCATACACAATGCACATATACATATGCATATACATATAAACACCACACATGGACATACATTTGCATGCATACATTTAGTGCATGCATCTATGTATACATGGGTAGATTTTATATTATGAATATATTCCCACACATGAACACACACATTTACCATATCCATCTATTCACAGAGGCACACACAACACATCCTGTGCATGCACATGTACAGATACACGCAGAGCACATAGCCTAGGCATGCACACACACCACACCTTGCAGCTTGTACTGTGCCAGGAATCCAACTTGGCTATCACTAGTCTCTACCGAGCCCTCTTGGGCAAGTCACTGCCTTTCTCTGGGTCTCTGCAGCTGTTGGGAATTGGGTAAGATCTTATCAAAAGTGCTTTGTGCTCTTTGGAACTAGATTTGCAAGTCCCTCCCTTGGTCAAGACTTTGCTCAGACTGTCTGCAGCCATGCTCTTCTCCGGGCTTCCACTTGGTGCGTCTCTAAGTAAATACCCCAACTAGCACACAAAAGTAAAGTTCCCATCAGCTCATCTCAAACTTGGCTGCAGGTTGGGATGACCTGGGAATTTTTAAAAACAAATCCTTAGGTCCTGCTGTCTGAGGCTCTGATTTAGTCCATATAGAGGGTGGCATAGGAAGCGGTAACTCTAAAACCCTCAGCTGATTCTCCTATGTAGCGAAGTTCAGACCAGCACAAGGAGTCCCAGCACCTGACATACCGCTCACTCTCTCTCTTGCTCCCCTGGTGGAGTGGTTGCTAGTGATGGGTTTTACTCCTGACCACAGCTCAGTTCCCTTGCCTACTTTAACCCACCATTCTGCCCATGCCAGATCTGCTTCCATAGAAAGCTCTACGCTCCACCCATGCTGTGGGTTCTGTTGTCGCCATACAGGTTCCATCAGAAAGAACAGGCTCTGGCAGGGCTGGCCTTAACCGTTGCTCAGCAGAGCCTGCCGGAACCTTACGAGGCTGAGGAGAGGGTGCCTAATGAAGGCAGCAGAGTGTGTTTTGTCCTTTGTGTTGTGTGCATACACCCAGGAAAGGCCAGGAACCACAACGGAGTGCTTGATGAGGTTGCATTGAACTGTCTGCTCTTCCTGGGAGCCTCGGCACCAGAGAAGGAGAAGCAGTTGGCAGTGTTTCCCGTGGCCAGGCAGATGCTCAGGGAACAGGCTAGCCCAAGTCCTGCTGGGATACTTGACCATCCGTTCTCACAGTCCATTTCCCCCCGACTCTTGAACATCTTGTGAGGGGATAGTGTCACACTTATGCAGAGACATTATTGCCTCATTTAAATTCCTCTTGCTGTGGCCCTCGCTGTGGGCACCATAGTTGAAGAGAGTTCAGGGGTGGAGGGGTAAGGACTTTTTAAATCTGAAAGACTATGGGCTTCTTTTTCAAGATCTTTATATTGAGGAATAGGTGAGCTTGATTCAGGTATAGAAGAAGCAAAATGCAAAAAAAAAAAACAACAAAACAAAAAACAAAAAACCACATCAGCCTTATGGGAGAGAGATACAGACTTCCAAAGAAGTTTCCCTCTGAAAAGTCCAGCTCATCAAAGTAGAGAGATTTAGGAGAGAAGGGAAGCAGAGGAGTTTCAGATGCTCTCTGCCCCCGAGGGCTGCCTATTGTTCAGGAGGGATGTGTCCTGAGGTCCTTTTTGATGTAGAAGCTAGACCGGGGCTGGAGGTGAGGTGAGTCTGGTTCAGTACAAGGTCCCTTGCTTAGGGAGCTCTCAGTTTTCTAGAAGAAGGGTATGCATAGGTGCGTGGACACACACACACACACACACACACACACACACACACACACACACACATATTCCAAGAAGCACACCAGCCAGCACAGCTAGAGTAAGGGCAGCCATTGGACCCAGGGCTAACGCAATTGTGATGAAGGTCTGGAGTACCAAAAGATGGGTGAGATCACTGATAGCTGAGTTTTGAACAGGGAATTGATTGCAGAGAGGGGCATTACTCAAGAATGCTTCAAGAGCAGTGTGTGTAACCTGCTTGAAAGCTTGGAAGTGGAAAAGAATGCTTTGCCCCTCCTATGTGAACCTGCCTTTCAAAGATTTTTGTAGCTGAGAAAGCTTGGGTTGCCCACACGACACAGGAATGCCAGCCAGTCTCATCTAAGGCACGGAAGAGAAGACGAACACAGTCTTTTGTCCTCAGTACAGCAGACTGACATGGTTTCACACAGTGAAATTCTACATTGATGCAGGCTGAGGCAAGCCACTCATACTGATTGTCGAACAGGGAAATTCATCGATGTTCTAAGGCGTTGGGGTTCTGTGTGGAGGCAGATGTGTGTCCCGATGGTGATGCCCAGGTTGAGATGGCTGCCAGCATCACTGAGAAGTCACCATTATTTTTGCTCATGGCAAATGCACCTCCGTAGGGACCAGTGGGAAGGCAGGAACTGGTCAGGAAGGGCAATAGGATTCTGAGGGGTGAGCTGGATGTTCGGATCCCCTCCCTTTACCCTCACTCCCAGGATAAAGAATCCTTCTCAAGGAGGTGGACTTGAGCCTCTGTAATTCCATACATCCCCGTCTCTTATTCCAATTAACACTGCCCTCCAAGAACCTTTGGGGTAGAGGAGGCCCTGGCTGATAGAATTCTAAGACTATTTGGCATTAAATGGAGGTGTTGAGCCCCTACGGTCCAGAGTACCTTCCCCACAGGACTGGACAGGAAGGAAAAGTGGTACCAAAATGTCCAGCTCAGGCCAATTAGGCTTCCTAGGAGTAAGTTTTGTAGAAGTAGAGAGACCAGGTGGAGAGTGAGCTCTCAGGGTTACACTTATTGAGAAGCTCCATGTGCTTGCTGCTGAACTTAGTTTTTAGAGGACCTGGCTAACCCTCCAGACACCCTGGGGTCAGGAGAGAGGAAGTGGTTTCTGTGTGAGAACAGCTCATCTTCTCTCCCTGACGACGGCTAGACGTGATTCGGAATGTGTCACACCTCTGGATTCCTCCCCACCTTCGCCATCCCTCCAGCCGTGCATCCACCTTCTGCCAGAAAAGCTGTGCTGGCTGGCGTAATGGCCGCCTCACTCTCACAGGGAGCCAAGCAGCTCCCTAATTGCAGATAGGTTTTGGAGGATGCCTTCAGACGTTGCCTGGAAGGAACCGACCCAGTGAGAATTACAGCTCAGAGCTGTTGTCACCTGAGTCACAGTGAGACATGGGGACTTGCTCTGGGAATTACAGAGTATCTCATGCCCTGCTTCCATCTGTTCATATGTCCGTGTGTCTATCCACGTCTGCCTCCATGGCACAGTTCCTACTTCACCTGGAGAATGTGTAGGAGAGCAGCCAGCAGACTGCGGTGGCACACGCCTTTAATCCCAGCACACGGGAGGCAGAGCCAGGTGGATTTCTGTGAGTTCGAGGCCAGCCTGGTTCTACAGAAGGAGATCCAGGACAGGCTCCAAAACTACACAGAGAAACCCTGTCTCGAAAAGCCAGAGAGAGAGAGAGAGAGAGAGAGAGAGAGAGAGAGAGAGAGAGAGAGAGAGCAGCCAGGCTGGTGAAGGGCATGGAAAGGGGAGATGCTTTATATGACCTGTGGGTGTCAAGTCATGATGGTAGATTCCCTCTCACGGGGGTGGAGGCCTGAGTGGGAGCCTCCAGGAGATGATTCTTAAAGTAGGAGGCCTCCCCGGGGCTTTGTTGAAGTATCTGTCACCACCCCAGAGTTTCCATCTGGAAGTAGCTGGCTGACCCATACCTGCCCTTTGCTAAGAAATGCCTGCTCAAGAGATGTGAGCCAAGCAGACACTGGCCTGCCAAGCTTTGGAAGAGATGACGGACATGGGCTGGATCAAGGCGGGTGAGACCTGGAGGACAGCTCCTTGGAGTCCTGATGATGTCTGTGCCTGGCTGTGGCCCCTTCTCTGGTGACCGAGTCCACAGGATTCTCCCTGTTCCTTATGAAAACACAGTCTGTCCAGAGGAGCAGCTGCAGTTTGGACAGACAGGAGCAAACTTACTGTACCTGCAGAGGGCTGGGAGTAAGTCAGAGGCTCTGTGGACCAGGCAGAATCCTAGGACTTCACTTTTAGGGGAAGGCCTGCACCTGGGCCCTATGGGGTGGGATTCTGGGACTCTATGGATGGAAGAGCCCCTAGAACGACCCCGAAGCAGGAGGCAGAGGAGGTGGGGCCAGTCTCAGTTGTCTGCCCATCTTCCTTGAAAGATAGACATTATCTTAGAGAAGCTTCCTGGGATGCCATCAGGCACATGTCACTATAGCCACAGAGCTCTGGGAGTGTATGGACCGTTTAGGATGCAGAGAAACTGTTTTTTACAGAAAAAGAAGCTGAGGCCCAGGGAGAGCTTGTGGGCCAGGCCAGGACCAATTCCAACCACTAGGCTTCTGGGGAAAACTACGACTGTCACAGCTAACATCCCGAAGTCCCACTCACCCTTCAGGATCAGGAATGGGAATCAAGGGAAATGCCCTTTGTCATGGGTCTGGCGCTGGACAGAGGAGATGGCCCTAAGCAGGATGCTCGCCTGATTATGAAGTGCCAGTCTTGTTCCTGTTCCCAGTTCAGACAATTTGGTTCCTAGGAAATGACCTAGAGCTGGTGGGTGTGGCAGAAGTGTAAGGGCTAATGGATTCAAGGGAGATCAAGGTCCAGGCCCCCTCCTCCTTAGAGAGGATTTCTGATGGGGAAGTCCAAGCATCACTTTAGAGGAAAGGCGTGCACATCCCTTAGAGGATATGTTTGATGAGAGTAAGGAAGACTTGCTATGGACATGCAGGCCAGAGAACCTTGGCTTATCTTTCACAGAGTTCTCAATGTAGCCGAGGAAATATGGACACCAGGTGGCACATGACTTGGGGTACAAGAGCAGGGTACAGCAGAGACTAGAGGGACTGCCTTGAGCGGGGGCTGGTTAGTAAGGGGTTCCTGAAGGAGATGAAGTCTTGAGCCTCGCTTTGAAAGATGGATGGAATGTGATGGCTATAGCCCGGGAGAGAAGACGGATTCAGCGCAGGGGGACTATGTCACTGAGAGCCATGTTTCCTGACATTAGGACCTCCAACAGACCAGCTTGCTCAAAGTTGGGGCTGTATGGTAGGCCTCCCCACTCCCTGCCATTCTGTGAAAGGAAGAAGGAAGGTGGGTCCCTGCCACGAACCTCAAATCCAGCCTGCTTTTTGTGATTCAAAGCCACTTTGCCGCTAATAACCCTAATGACACCGTGTCCTCCCGCATAGCCTGTCATTTGTGGATCTCGAAGCACTGTGAAGGCATTAATTAATCCTCACTGGGCCTTTGAGGTTGATTATTGCCCCCCTTTACCAGCGGGAGGACCTTAGAGAAGGAAGGGGCAGGTTACCTGATCACCCGTGGGGGCTGGGCTCGGGCTGGCATTCACAGTCCGGGCAGAAGCGGACTCTAAGCAGTGTGCACTGCTGTGTGGCTCTGACCTTGAACCTCTGGACCTGGAATGTCGAGATCCTGCCTTCCTTCCCCATGCATCTTTGTAGAGCATGGACTCATGATTCCCTGTGTTGGAACTGCCGTTCTCCAAGGCTCTCCAGGCCAGCTCGTGACCTGTAGGTGTCCATTTCTCCCAAGGGGTCTAAGAGCTGTCCTTGTGGCAGTCTGGTGGCTCTTTGCTGGGCCCTGGCTATGGAGGATGTGAAGATGGGCATGGCTGGTAGATGGCACCCTTCCCCAGGAACTCGGACTGCTTCCCTCCGTGGAGGTGGTGGACCTGGATGTGGATGATACAGCGGGAGCAGGGATGGGTGAAGATGATGGTCATCCCTGCCCTAACCTCCCTGCTCTTCCCTCCAGGTTCCATGTATGATGGGCTGGCTGACAATTACAATAACTACGGGACCACGAGCAGAAGCAGCTACTTCTCTAAGTTCCAGGCAGGGAACGGCTCCTGGGGCTATCCGGTAAGGAACTGCTTCTGTTCGGAAAGATCTAGAACGTCTGTGGACGTGGTCTGGGATTCCCGATGCAGAAAGCTTTCACTGGTTGCTCAAAAAGAGAAATGCAGACTTCAGCCAGTAAATGAGGACTTCAGGTCTGACGAGGGCTGTTCGCTGGGCTATCGCCTCCCAGGGAACTCTGTGCAGTCTCCTTCGGTGCTGATTGGGGATTTCTGGGTCTCTCAAGCATTTTACAAGTCTGTTTCCCAATGTTTCTGATTTTGACCAAGGGGATGTGAGAAGTCTGAATTCTGGAGGTCCTTTGTAGACAGGTTTTTAGGGAAGTCCTGAAGTAGTCTCTCTCTTCGTGTGTACTGTTGGTCAAAGAAGGACCCAGAAGGTACCTCTGAGACCAGGAGATCTTGTCCATTGCAGCAACATCTGCAAAGGCTGCCTTGGCTTGGAGAAGAGCTTTGCTTGAGTTGACTAGTCAGAGACGTATGAGTTCAGATTCAAGCCCTGCCACTCACTGAGCCTGTGTCTTTGGGTTTCAACTTCCGGGCCTCAAGTTCCTCACAAGTAAAGTGGCTATTATAACAAAGTCTTCTTGGGTTATTATCAAGATTGAATGAACTAATACATATAAAAAGCAGATACAGTTTGTAAGGTTTTAAAAAAATTAATGTGGGTAGAGATAATTCTAGATCCTTCAATCCGGGGTCTGGCTCCATCTTTCTCGACGCCCTCCACCCACCTGTCCATTTCCTGAACAGAGACCTATGGAACTGAGCTTGCTATAAAGCACTGTGGCGGGTGCTCTGGATAAATCATATGAATCAGTGCGTGTTTCATCCTATTCTAGAACTGGGAATACTGGGCTACCTGGCACTCAGGGTTTCCCAGATTCCTCAGATTTCATGAGTTCTGTTTACTTTTGCTAATTCCAACATTAACCTGCATTGTTCTTGGAAATTCTTACGTGAGGCTCAGGGATAAAAGATGTGCCTCTATGCAAAGCTGAGGCGGTGTCTTCTTGGGGTCCCAGGATCAGTAGCATTTTATTTTGAACAAATGATCACAGATGTCACTCCAAGTTGCTGAAGATCCTGGAGTCCTGTGTAAAGAAGAGTGGGGAGCAGGTTTGTGAATTCAATGTTCCTTCACTGTGGCTTGATTTCCTTTCTCCATCAGTTTTGTTGGGGCTGACTGTGGAGGATGTATCTTCCACAGGTGTTACACTCTGGAGACGAAAGAAAAGAAAGAACTCAGTCTGCTACAAATTCATTTCTCATTCCTTCTTTGTGTGGAGGGGGCATTTATATCCGTTGTCACTCTCAGGACAACCGAAATTTAGTTGATCAAACCAAATAAGTTTGCAGAGCACTCATAGATGTGAGATGGCTTTAATACAAAAGATGATGTCCACATATATTCAGAAAATACTTTAGTAATGGAGAGTAAAGGGATTAGCTAAAAAAAAAAAAAAAAAAAAAAAAAGCTAATAACTGGACCTACTGATCCAAGCTAATAATGCTGACATGGTCATGGTCGTGCTAACAATATACATGTTCCGTGTTACCAGGCTGGAGCTTAGAGTTTCTGAGCTGTTTCCACTCTCCTCTGTGACTCTCGATAAACCACTCTGGGCATCAGTTTTCTCCTCCGTAACATGAGACTGATGGTACCAGTTTTTCTGCTTCGTTCACATGTTGCTATCATGCTACATTAACTATGTTATCAAACGGAGCGCGTAACCATGGAAATGTGGGAGGAGGTGTTTCTAAAATACCTCCTATGGCCTGTGCCTTTCTGACATTTTCTTCTAGATAATTAATCCTTAGTTGTCTCATTTGCCTTTTAATGCTCCCAAACAGCCCCCACACCTCCCCTGTGCCCATTTTCTGACAACCACTGAAAATCCTTTTCCTTCCCCGCGCCCTAAGGCCCATCCCTCTTCACTCCTTTGCTGGCAACCCTGCAGACATGACTCATGACAGGGCAGCTGCCGAGGCTTGTCCCGTCTCCTCTCAGTTCAGGAGAGGCTATGGGAACAGGGAAGAGCTGAGCACACACGAGGATTTGGCGGAGGGAGGGAGGGAGGAAGGGAGGGGGGCTGAGGAGAGAGGAAGTAGAATAATTGATATTGAAGCCAGACATATAATCAGCTGAGCACTGAGAAAGACCAAGTGGGGTCCAGATTTGGAAAGGGAGAGAGTGGGAGAAACCGTAACAATGATCTGTGGTGTGAGATAATCCCATGCCTGTGGATTTTCCCAGGGTTGGTACAACTAGCATGGAACGTTGCACTTCCCACCCTCTGGTGAAACCAATATGGCAGCCCAAGGCAGGGAATACAGGGAGGAGGGTGTGGTTCATTGGCACAGGCACCGTCAGGAGTTTCTGAGAGCTGGTGAAGGACCATTCCCTACAGACACATTCTGTTCATTCAATCAGTCAGCCGGCTGGCACTGAGCAAATGCTGGACTCAGCATCACGTGATGCACACTGTGGATGAAACTGCAAAGACTCCCTTTGTCCTCAGTGAACTGCTAGTCCAGTTGGGAGAAGCAAAGACCAACAGAAACAGAGTAGATAATCATTTCTGTCCTGGAGAACTACACCAAAGCCCGGCTCAAATGTTTCTAGAACCTGTAAACGTTTTTTAGAAGGAGCTATTTCCAGTGTGTTTTAGAAGCCACGTAGGTACCAGTGACTTCTTTATTAAGATGATCTCTGTCAGATTAGAAGCAGCACAGCCCACTTGGAGCACTTCATTCCTTGGGTTTGGTTCCGATTCCAAATATCACACCATTCTCAAATTACAAAGCTTTATCACTAGTGAGTAAACATGTGTTTTAAATGTAGAGGGATTCTATAGGCAATCCTAAAAGAAAAGCCTAATGATATTTTAAAATCAGTAGTGTCACTTCATATTCTGAATCATCAACAGCCTTCTAATTTAAAAAAAAAATCTTTTCTGTTTCATCTATGACCAAATATATTACAAATTTTAGGAAACTGAATAAAAAGAGTCCTATAATGAAGCTTCAAATGAAGTGATTCTGACCTACAAGAAGCGTCCTACAAGGGGCTTAAAGAAAAGATTGGTCCAAAGAAAACCATTTGACTCAGCGTTCCCCTCATGATTGTGGGTCGCTGCAGCCTCCTTCTTTAGAGACAGGAATTTGCCCAAGAGTCCCCCAGGCCTCCGGAAGAGGGAGGAATCTGTGCAATGAGGCAGAGTGTCCCCACACCGGACACCTCAGGTGGGCTGATGCTGTCCCAGTTCTCAGAGTCAGAGCAGTGGGCTTTGCATTTTACAGATGAGGAAACTCAGGCCCAGAGACAATAAATGACTCAGTGGAGGCCACACAGATGTTTACTAGTATGGCAGCCTAGATCCCTGACCTACTACCTGCTAACCTGGGAGCTCCGCTTTCCTTATTCCGGGTGCTTATACTTTGTGTGGTGATCATTGTATCGGTCTCCATAAACCTCTGTGTGTCGAGATGGCAGCTGCGTTTGAGGGACTCACAAGAGATCCACAAATCCAAATCTTTTCATTGCTCTCTTTCCCTGCCCTCCAGCCAAAACTGTCTCTCCTTGAGAGAGTCTAATGCTAACAGGAGAAGGAAGGGAATGGTCATATTTTCTCTTCCTAGACTCAAACTCTGTTCATTTAGCAATAATTATTAATAGGGAGTGGTCATAGTAAACTTGTAGGGTAAAACAAGTACAACAAGTAAATGGTTTGGTAAATAATTATAATGAAAAATATTAATATCAGAGATTCAAACACAGCTATGAGTGTCCTGTGTTCTCAGTTTGGTACGCTAAGTCATTCCTGACATTAAAACAAGTGTCCATAAGAGCTCCTCTACTGGGCTATGGACCCAAGGAGAATGACGTCAGATGCAGTTGTTTCTAGTTGGGAAATGGAGGCCTTTTGGTCCCTATTTGTTAGACAGCTAATATAATGGGTCACTTGAATACCCTTGTCTGGGTCAGGTAGACCAGGGTGAAGGGAACAGAGAACCGAGGCCATTTGGAAAGCATGGCTATTGTATTCCAAAGCTGTAAACAGTCACGATCATATGGGTCTGTATGGATCAGGTAGACCAGGGTGAAGGGAACAGAGAACCGAGGCCATTTGGAAAGCATGGCTATTGTATTCCAAAGCTGTAAACAGTCACTATCATATGGGTCTGTCCCAGATGCAGCTAGAGTTTTCCTATTTTTAAAGCAAGAAACACATCATGAGCATTGAGTTATTTTGAGAGTGTTCTTTAGATGTGGATTGAACTTGACCATCCTTCCCGGGATCTGATCTATAGAGGAGAGAAGTCATGGGGATAATACCAGCCAGGAGTTCTGAAAGCAAGGTGAACCATGGTGTTTGCCATATTGAACCACACACATCCAGCTTGGCAGTCCTGAGGTGAGAATCTCTAGGAACATAAGGAGAGAGAATCCTGTCTTTGTCCTGGATCTTTCTCCTGGCTGCTTACCTAATTGATACATCAGTGTTTGATGTTCCCTTCATGACAGAATCTTGTGGTTATGCACTAGAGACCCTTTGCGCTGAAGAGAACCAAGCCTGTTCATTCTGGACCCAAAGCAACCTGTGGGAGCCCCTGGTACAGCTGGAAGGATGGCAGTTGTGTCCAGCTGCAGTGGGAAATAGAAAGCCCCAGCACTGTGCTGTCTGGGTTGAGGGTTCATCTTCTGTCAGAGTTACACTGTTGATTATGCAAAGGGCTGGATTGTGGACCGTACACTGCAGAGAGGTTGCCAGGACACGTGGCAAGATCCTTTGTCCTGGGAGCAGTAAAAAGAGACTGCCCTTGCTAATCCATAGTTAACAGAGGCTGTGACCCAAGATAGCATGATGTAGGGGAACAAGCCCCAGGCTTGGCTCAGGACCTTCAGCCCACATTCTGGCTCTTCCCCTTCATTATTTGTGTGACTCCAGGCATGTCCTTAATCTACCTGAGCCTCAGTCTCTGAAATGGGGAAAATCTCTT